CAAAAACAATGCTATAAGTGTAGCTATCAATTTGGCCTCCAATTCTAATTTTATTCCTTTAAGTCGCACACTCAATCCTTTTTTTGTCCGCACCTTTTTTTCACACCTAAGGTGTTTTTGATTAGATATCATGACTTTTTGTTAATACGCACCAACCAACTACAGCAAGTAAAAAAGTCACACTCGACAGTAACCAACATTAGCTTTAGGATCGCAACCCTATTGTTTGGAACAGATCTTTAATTTACAGAACCAACCAGATTCTTTTAAATATATAGTGCTAGTTTTCTCTATAAAACAATGTTAATAACGTCCTTTATGGTAACGCTATGGAATCTAGATTAACAATTTCTTGCCATCACCCGCATGCACTCGGTACAGCCCTATCAAGCATCATTATTTACGCTAATTGTTTAATCTAATATTATGTGACGCTAAACGCTCTTTAATTAGGAGAATTTCATAAAATTTAGCAAATTTGGGCTTAAAAGTTGGTAATGAATAATAAACCGTTCATCCGTATGATTCTTGTGAAAACTTGAGCTACAAACTGCTAATCTAGTTTGCTTGGCCTAACCAATACTTGTATATCTGCACGTGCTTTCACCCTATACTTTTGCAGCTCTAAATCAGCCATATTTAATCAAAATGACAAAAAAGCAACAACTAAAAGCCGTCCACTTTTACTCTTAGGTGAAACTGTAGTAAAAATGTTAGACCGATAGTCCATATGACTTTTTGCGTAGGCGGGCGCAAAAAATGTTGGTAAAAATTGAGCGGTTTTTGTTGAATAACTTTATACATGTGACATCTATTTAGATCAAACTTGAAACCTGATTATAGGTTGTAAAGATCTATCAGTGTACTAAGTTTGAAAAAAAATCCATAAAAGTGAAGTATCTTTCTCAATCACATAATGTTTCCGTACTTTTGGTGAGAAGAGAGAGAGATAAAAAAAAAAGGAAAGAATTCAATGAAAATTGGATATTTTATATCTCATATATTTATTAATGGATTGCCTTGAAATTTGGTATGTGAAATAAGAGTCCAGTAGAGCACATCCACTGAAAATATGTGATAATTTGGATTACCACAGTGTGCCCTGCAGTTTGTTTTGTCCGCTTGACACACTACCGTGTCATGATGTGTATTTTTTATATTGTACCGGAAACGCGTTAAATTTTATGAAAATGAGGTTATCGTGAATAAAAAGAATTGGTCACGCATACTTCTGTAAGAAAATAGGTCAGATCGTTCTATAGATTGTCGAGCTAAACGTGTTGTATTGTTTACTGCTCGTTGACTTTTTGTTTTTTGTTAGCAGGTTTTTGCAAACTTGGGCCACGTTTCCTTCTTATAAGTCTTCATTTCATGTTGTTAGATTCTGTAAGGAATTCTTTTGAATCCTCCTACTTGATTATATACATTGGAAGCAAAAATGGTCACTGACGTAAGTTTATACCGAGTGACGTCAGTGGGATACGCGTGAACGTGCTCCGTTATACCAAGTCCACCGACCACACAAGGTCATTTCTAATTCAGAATAAAAACTCCAGCTTAAATATTTAAAATAAACATTTGATAGTCACGAATAATCTTTCCATTACTTTCGACAGACTTCACACAATACTGAACGACCATAAAATCTCACATTTTTACATAAACCAGTGTGAAAACTGCTCTGGTTCTAGTAAATCTGACAGTTGTTCTTTATTTGAATCAGATTCTGGAAACTAATTTGATAGTTGTTTTTTTATTTGATTCAGATTCTAGAATTGACTTGACAGTTGTTTTTTATTTGATTCAGATTCTGGAAATAAAATAATCATAAACTCTAGCTTTTGTAGTTGGTTACAACCTAGAAACGTCGATATGTGGAACGTCCATCAATAACGTGGTACTTGGGAATAATACTGATGTTATTTCTTTAAGTAACATTCTGCTTATTTTCTTAAACTGTCAGAATTTACTTATTATAGCACACAGAAAAGTCAAAGATATAACTCAAATAACAATAATCAGGGCAGTCAAAGGCATATCTAAAACAAGAGTATATATGACAAAAATATAACTTAAATAACAATAAACATGAAAGTCAAAATCATAATTAAAACAATAGTATAAATGACAAAGATATAACTTAAATAACAATAAACATGAAAGTCAAAATCATAACTAAAACAATAGTATATATGACAAAGATATAACTTAAATAGCAATAAACATGAAAGTCAAAGGCATAAGTAAATCAACAGTATATATGACAAAGATATAACTTAAATAACAATAAACATGACAGTCAAAGGCATAACTAAAGTAATAGTATATACATATAACAATGAAATACATAACGTGAATAAAAAATATACAGGACAGTCAAAGATGTAACTATAGCAACAGTATATATGACAGTCAAAGATATAATTAAACTAACAGTATATATGACTGTCAAGGATATAACTAAAAGAACAGTTTATAGAACAGTCAAAGATATAACACAGTAAAGCACAGTAAAAGATATAAAGAGATAATAAATACAGCCGAAACTATTTCAACCTAAACATTTCTTTGTATCAAACAATAGTTATATTAAAAGGACAATAAAATCAGCGTTGATAAAAAAGGCGGGATTTCAAAATATACAAAAATAAACACGATCCAATAAGGGTTCGACAATAAATAACGTGTTTTTTTGTAGATTGAAAATCATAAACAATCATGCGTGCTTTTATAACATAACCTGATTAATGAATATGAAAAATGATTCGTTAGCCCTAACTGTCTCTAGAAGTTATCGTTGACTTTTAAAGATACTACATATACACAACTTACGGTATACACAGACATCACGCAAGTAGAAAACTCTGTATTTAAACGTAAAGACAGTTGTATGTACGTATTAACTACCATATGATTTTCTATTGTATTTTACTGCATTAACAGCATAATTAATGAACTTCCAATGACAAGAAAATTATAATTTTTAAGGGTATATCAGAATCCTTTCTTAAATGCTTGTTGTACTTAAAAACGTGTTTTATACCACTAGATGGAACTCAGTACACTTTGTTTTATTTTTCAGTCATTGGTCCCTTGTGATCCAAGTGTTGATCTTCTGTTTGAACGCGTGAGGCTACAGCGTTTTGTTATTCATGATCATAACATCGCCAGTATCCTTACAAGATGGCGCTGCGGTGCTGCTTGGCTTGTGATTCGATTCCTCTTGAATGAACAGTGCCAGGTTTGGCACATTCAAAAGTGATGATGAGGACACTGGCAGGTGCAGGGTATTTTGCAAGGAAAACTTTTTGTTGAAGGAGCCTGGGTTATTGATGGTGGAATAACCTATAAATGGAATTCAATAGTAACTTTTTAGAGAAAGAAAAGTAAATAACCTGATTATTACGCAAACTAAAATCCTGTATACTTATTTGTTAGCCTATAATACAAATATTTTTGACACACGATAATAACATATTTATGACACTCTTTTGGCGGGCTTTGGTATGTATTTAGCACATGCTAACTTATATCAAGAGCTCTACAATACGTCCGCGCTTCCAGCACAGTCTCCCGCATTACACAAGACACAGTGCTTCAAACGCCATCCCACTCAATAAACGCGGCAATGGCAGACGATTACGAGTTTCAGTCCTACAGTATCAACACTGCCAAATATACCGAAGAAACTAAACTTATAACAAGGACAAACATAATTAAAACATTTTTTTTTCCTATTACAAACGACAAACAATTTTTTTTATCTCCATTCAATTATATTGACATCGGATATTTTCACTCAACAAATTTATAGGTAGAGTAAACATCGAGAACCGTCTAGATATCGAAAACTGCAAAGTGATGAAAACATGACTGCTAGTTCTAGATCAAAGTTCCAGTTTCATCAGATCAAGATCTGAGTTCACGAAACTTTCAACTGAACTTACTGTGCGCTTGAGTTTCCTGCACAAACGTAAAATGTAGTTGAATCAACACAGTTAATTTATAGTGGAAAGAAGTTGACATATACGAATTTATGAAACACAGCCAGGAATGTTATCACTTTGAAGGAGAGGTTCTGTGTTGATATAACGGTGTTACAGAGGGTTTGTGTTGATACCACGATATTACAGAGGATATCAATCTTGGTGTTACAGAGGGTTTGTGTGGAGAACACAATATTAGAAGGGTTGCAGTGATACCACGGCGTTACAGAGGATCTTCGTTGATATTGATTTCTTGGTGTTACAGGGAGTTTCTGTTGATATTATGATACCAGAGAGCCTGTATTGATATCACGACGTTACAGAGGGTTTTTATTGATATCGATACCTGGGTGCTACAGGGATTTTTGTTGATATCACGGTACTAGAAGTGTTGTATTAATATTATGGTGTTACAGAAGATCAGTATTAATATTTTGGTGTTACAGGCGGTTTGTGTTGATATCACGGTACTAGAGGGATCAGTATTGATATATTGGTGTTACAGAAGATCAGTATTAATATTTTGGTGTTACAGGCGGTTTGTGTTGATATCACGGTACTAGAAGTGTTGTATTAATATTATGGTGTTACAGAAGATCTGTATTGATATATTGGTGTTACAGGCGGTTTGTGTTGATATCACGGTATTAGAAGTGTTGTATTAATATTATGGTGTTACAGAAGATCAGTATTAATATTTTGG